CAAGGGATACTGTATGTCCCCGTGGCCAGGAGATCAGTTAATACATTCCCCAGTTAAAGAATAAGTGGCCAGTAGTGCTAGTAGTCTTTAAAAGTCTTTGAACAAATTACTATCAAGCTTGCTTTTTTTAGTGATTTAAAATTATCATGGTTATTTATTCATTTTTCTACATATTTTTTGATTAATTTTGTTTTCTAAGATCTCCAAGAGGTTTGTCTCATTCTCCTTGGGCTGTGAAAAAGATTAATCCTAGGTGTGATGATCATTATCAGAGCGTGTATCAAAAAAGACTAATTGATGAAGCAAAGATTTTGAAAAACCTTCATCATCCAAACATTGTAGGTAAGTAGAAATTTGCTTGGTAGCAGTATCTTGTATAATATAGTGAGTACTTACCCAAAAACAGCTTGTAGAGTTTGTTAAGAATCAAATTAATGTGAACATTTGGAAATAAAAATTAGAATATAACATTTTTAGATGTTCAAATATATTTAAAACTTCATGGAGACATCTATAGTCATTATGGTGTTAGTACCATGATTTCAAGAATATGAAATGATTTTTAAGTCCAATTTTTAAAATATTTTTTAATAAAGTACCATTGTTTTACATCTTGTTCATTTTTTTTAAGATGTATTTATTTATGCATACAAAAACCGGGTGTAGACCAGAGGTGTGGGAGTGGTGGTGGTGAACGAATTCGGCAGAGACAGAGCGGGGAGCAGCACAGGCAGGTCCACTGAAATCCACTGCTGAGGGAGCAGTGGGGAGACAGGGGAGGTCTGCTGCGCCCTGTGGGTCACTCCCTGGCCAGAGATCGAACTCATGCTGCAGTGGCTGCCTACGGCTTGGGAGCACTGATACTTTAACCCTTGTGCTACCAGGGCAGCCCTTTTTTTGAAAGTTGAGGATTTCTCCCCTTGGGTGTGATGACTAATTCTCCCACGACCAAAGCAACCACAGTCCTCTGCCATAGTCCATTGTGCTTTTCCTCCCCCGCCCTTCACTGTGAAGTGATTTCTAGGTAATTTCTTTATTTCCATTTGCAATAATATGGAGGCTGGTAAGGCCATTATATTTGCGGAGGCACACAGTGTGAAATATTACAGTGTGTGATGCTCTTGGCCAACGCTGAGGCGTTGAAAGCCTGCCCACCGAATGAGGTTTGTATATAGTCGGGCTTTCATGACTTGGCAGTTTACTCCAGGTCCATTTTTGGTCATGCTACTGAGAACAACTTCAGTGCAGTTGTTCTCCCTTCTTCTAGTAAGGAAATACCATGCTTTCTTTAAGGTTACCGTGCTTTCACTGAAGCCAGTGATGGTAGTCTGTGTCTCGCTATGGAATATGGAGGCGAAAAGTCTCTGAATGACTTAATAGAAGAACGAAATAAAGACAGCCAAGATCCTTTTCCAGCAGCTGTGATTTTAAAAGTTGCTTTAAACATGGCAAGAGGACTACAGGTAACTGCCTTTATGCTCTGAATGACTTGTACCTGAAGACGCTGAACACGTCATATTCCTCATTTCTTTTTTTAAAAACTTATCTGTACATTGAAGAACTGGGGTACAAGACAGAGGTGCTGGAGGTAGAGGATTCACCAAAGACAGAGTGGGGAGCACAACAGGCAGATGGACAAAGTACACTGCTGAGGGGAGCAGCAGGGAGACAGGAGAGGTCTGCTGCGCCGTATGGGTCAGCTCTGTGGCCGGAGATGGAACTCGTGATGCAGTAGCTGTGGGCAGCTTTGTAGTGCTGCGCTTTAACCTGGTGCACCACCAGGGAGGCCCATATTCCTAATATCTAAGTGGAATGTTTTTTCACCCTCAGAAGATACTTACCCTAAGTGGAAATCTTTCTGAAATCTCTGATATTGCTGAATGCAATACTTCCCTATTTTGATTCAGCTAAGAGGATTATTTTAACACACAGCACTAATTTGTTGGCATTGTAGCCTAAAGCACTGTCTTCTGAAAACAGGCCTCCTACAAACTGCTTTGTGGGATGTTAAGTTTAGATGTCATAAATATAGGTGTGTAGGTCAAATGAAAAAAACTCTGATGCAAATTATTTTCCTTGGATAGACAAGAAAGGACAACTTAATGATAATTGTCCAAGTTGCTTGTTCAGAGTTCAAATCCAGTCAATTTATGAAACGGGTACACTTTATCGCTATGTACTTTAATATGTGGATAGACAGCATTATGTTTAATCAAAAACAGTAAGAGTTCCACATTATGTGTGATGGTCTCTGCCTCATTTCTAAGCCAGCTCACAGTAGACACACAGGCGCAGAGGGATGACAATAACAGTTCTGCAGGTTCTTTCTAATTGTGGATAAATGCCGTTTCTTGTCAATTCCAAGGAAGGGCTAATGTGTGAACCAGAACAAACTCCTGCATTACACGTGTTTCCTGCAGCGCCCGGGAAGTACGTGCAGCCCTGCGTCAGCATCTTGAGGAAAGCACACCTCCTCGAGAGTGTCAAAATTGTTTTTAAATATTACTGGTTTTACTTTGAGTTTTACTAGACTTGACTTGGAAGTCTGCACTAGCATCTTTGGTAGGAAAGTATGTGAGAAGGGCTTGAAAGTAAAAGGGGAGGTGCCCACAAGGTCTGGACATGCGCAGGCGGAGGCTCAGGCGAAAGGGCAGGCTGGGCCTGCGGGCCGGCGCCGCCTCCTCCCGCTCCCAGCCATTTGAAGTGAGGGACAGATACAGCCTGTAGGTCAGCAGGGGTCGTTATTTTGATTTAAAGGGTTGTTTCTTATTTATATTTTTGTTCACATGTATTCATTTTTTCACGATTTTAGTATCTACACCAGGAAAAGAAATTGCTTCATGGAGACATAAAGTCTTCAAATGTTGTTATTAAAGGTGATTTTGAAACAATTAAGATCTGTGATGTAGGAGTCTCGCTACCATTAGATGAAAACATGACTGGTAAGTAGTATGCTAATTTTTTGAATTGTGTTTTTATTCAACCTTTATAAATTCCTCATTTTACATATTCGCATAGATAAGTTTATATTCTTCAAAAATCAACAGGGAGGGTGAAGGACTCACCTGAGACACTGGGGAGCAGTCCACTGCGGAGGGGCGCAGCGGGGAGACAGGAGAGGCCTGCTGCCTCTGTGGTCACTCCCTGGCAGCATCGAACTTGTGCTGCAGTGGCTGTGCCTAGCTTCAGGGCGTGAGGCTTAGCCCATTGTGTCACCAGGGAGGCCTATTTCTAATCTTGATGAGTATTGTTATGTTGTAGATGTGGAATCAGATACAGTTGTGACACCTTTGCGAAAGAGTTCAGTTCACTCAGCGTGGTAACAAGATTTGAGGAACACTGGAGTAGACAAAGGAAGAGGGGTGCTGAGGAAGGGCGAAAGCAGTATGTGACTACACCCCATGGTCCACCCCAACTCATTCTCCTCCCTGTTGTCAGTATTGGCCATGATCATCTACAGTGACTCTACAGTGATGTCTAATCATTGTGAAGATAGAACTGTTGCGCCCTCCCTGGTGGCGCAGCGGGTTAAAGTACAGCACTGCAAAGCTGGTGGCAGCTGCTTCACCGTAAGTTCAAGCCCTAGGCAGAGAGGTGACCACAGGACGCGGCAGACCTCTCCTGACCCACCTGCTGCTCCCCTCAGCAGTGTGTTTTGCCAATCTGCCTGTCCTGCTCCCCAGTCTAATTCTGGTGAATCCTCTCACCCCCTGCACCTCTGGCCTGTACTCAAGTTCTGTGTGTATAAATAAATAAATCTTAGGGAAAAAAAGATAGAACTGTCATGATGACCCTAAAATAACTGCTATCATGTTGAAACCTCCAGTTAGTAAAAGAGAAAATTGCCAAACCCAGTAAAAAGAGATTTTCTTAACATAATCTTCTCAATACTTGAGTAGATTAAACAGGCAAAGTTAAGATCTAGGTTATCTGAGTAAATAAGATCACTGTGCAGTAGAATATTAAAACTGATCACATATTTGGTCACAAAAGAAAACTTGATTATAAAAAATAGAAATCTCTAGTGGCTTGCCCTTATCCTCAGTGCTAAACTCTGGTGTTCACTGAAAACAAAATCTTTCACATTTCTGCAGAATCTAAAAAATGCTTGAGGAGCTTGTGGGTTGCATGGAGAGCGTTGGGGAGAATGGAAACGCCCTGGAGCTCTGGGCCTTTCCATGATCCCTGCCGAGGCCTCTCTTCTGCCTGGCTGCCCTGACTACGTCCTTTGTAATGACGTCACCATCTAGAAGTTCAACCCCGTCAAAATTCTGCAATTCTGAAAACTTGTGTTTCATTTAAAAAAATAATAATAATCTGATTGAAAATGCGAGTTTGCCTGTTATCTGTCTCCCTGGACCGACGAGCCGGTGTGTAAGTCCGGCCTTTCCTTTCCCCATGGGCAGTTCCGGGAGCCTGGAAGCAGTAGTGCTCAGACCAGGGGCGGCACTGTAGCTCCGCTGCAGCTTTTGCCATTTTCCTGGGCCGCCTTGTCTGCCTGGGACTCCAGTCACCTGCCCTTATGACCAAGACATGAAGTGTTTTTCTTTTTGTTTCAGTGACTGACCCTGAGGCCCATTATATTGGCACTGAGCCTTGGAAACCCAAAGAAGCTTTGGAGGAGAATGGCGTTATTACCAATAAGACAGACATATTTGCTTTTGGCCTTACTCTGTGGGAAATGCTGACTTTGTCCATTCCACACATTAATCTTCCAGATGATGATGATGATGAAGGTATGACTGTACATTTGACATAAAACCTAATCACTTCAGTGTGAACTAAAGTTAGCTTATAGAATTAGTTTTTCTGCAAATTTTAAAAATATGAAGTGCTAGATTTCTATTAAAATTAAAGAGAGAGAGAAGTTGATTTAGTGATGTGAGATTGATGATATTAAAACTGACGCTCAATTTGCTGCTATCTCAGGTTTAGTCTCGTAAATGAGATGCAGACTGGGATATGGTGGTAAATTGAGATAACCCAGTTTTATTGAGGTTTAGCATCTCCAGAATACTAACTTCCCTGGAAATTTTCGCTCATAACTCAAGCCAGATGCATGTACTGCAGTATGAACTTACTGGGGGTGGGGAAACCATATTACAGCAATACAAGCGCACAGTCTGCTTGGTGGCCAAGTGGGGGGAAGGTAACAAACTTGGCCACACTCAGGCGAGTGTCCTCGCAGAGCTGGTGGCATCTGGCTGGGGGCTCCCTGCATCCATGGGTCTGTGGGGAGAGGAAGGCTGCGCTCAGAGCCAGTGTGCCAGATGGCTCTTGACAACGTCTGGGGCCCGCCGGGCACAGCTGGTGCCCGTGAGCACCTCCATTTGCCTTCAACTGCGTCCCTCTCTCAGCACTGCTTTGCAGAAGTCTGTTTTCAGGACCACACTTGAACTCAGGCAGGGCCCCTTGACAAGTAGGGCTTACCTGTTTATCTTTCACATGTCTGTTTATCGACATCTTCTTGAATCATTGCCTTTTAAATGTATAGCTTAAGTCCTACTATCTCAATTGCCCCCGTTTCCCATCCAGTCATTTTACTCTCAGTACATAAGGAGAAGTTGGAGAAGTTATCTTTAAAATTTACCTTGCCTCAAAAAGATAGGAAAGCTATCCCAGTGAGGTAGGGTGGGCAGCCTCTGAGACTGTGCCCCAAGGCAGGACAGCCGGAGAGACAGTATGTGGGTGACTGAAAGCGTACAGTGGGTTCTTGTTCCGGGGGCTCAGTTCCAGCAGGTGCTGAACTTTCCAGCACACACGTGAATAGTTCAATGGCTTTCTTCTCCTCTCCCACTCCCTCACGAACAGATAAAACCTTTGATGAAAGTGACTTTGATGATGAAGCATACTATGCAGCTCTGGGAACCAGGCCACCTGTTAACATGGAAGAACTGGATGAATCGTACCAGAAGGTCATTGAACTGTTCTCCGTGTGCACAAACGAAGACCCTAAAGACCGTCCGTCAGCCGCACACATTGTGGAGGCTCTGGAGATGGACATCCCATGATGCCCCTCATGTGCCAGACCTCAGCTTCAAGTAGCGCTCGTTGGAAGAACTGTTCTGTTAATCATCACACATGCATATAGTTGTCTGATGACCTGTCAGTAGTAGGCTTTTGGGAAGCCTATTTTAGGGCCATAGCACCTTGTTAACATTGGAATGACTTTCTGATTCATTACTCTGCTATTTCTGTATGCTAATTACTCTGTCGTGGGTTTTCTACAAAGTTTAAGCTGCTGACTGTACATTATTTGAATGTGTTCATGCAGAATTATAACACTAGCTGGAGAATGCTGTAAATGCTGTATCTACCTTGACTGTGGATTGTGACAGTTTTTTAATGATCTTTATTCTTGTAATTGTTTTTTTCTGAAAATAGCACTTATTGCAGAATAAAATTAGTCTATATTTGCTCATGTTTGAAGCCTTGAGCCTTTGCCTGGCCTTTCTTGGCTGATGTGGTTGTCATTAAATATGCTCACAGGAAGCTTAGGGACGGTGACTCAGAGGTGCTACTGGGTGTTCCTGGAACTTCTGGTAGCAGCTTATCTTCTCTCTTGGGTCTCCCCTGTCTTTGGATTTTGCTTTATTATTTTTTCTGTACCGACATTCCTTATTTCTCATTTAGTAATTTTTGTCCTTGGCATTTGGTTGTTCTGGTATAAAATGACAGAAACTGACAGGATGATACCGAATTTAAAAATATTAGTAAGAATGAACATATAAAACAAAAACTTCATCAAGCCCAAATCAGGATTCTGGCTCAAGATGTTGAGGTAGAAAAATCCTGACCCCCAACTCCTCTGTGGACACACCAAATCTACAGCTACATGAGGAACAGGTTGGGGGGTTGCAGCACCCACCCTGAGGCGTAAGGGCTTGGACCCCATTGGGCACCTCAGCTGCTAAGACATGCACCTGAGAGAAAGGCCCAGAACACCTGGCATGGAGAGCCGGTGGGGACCACGGCCTACATAGGAGAGCTGAGAGCCGCCTAGGAGCCTGGCAGACCCATCAGGGCTCAGTCCCGGGAAACGCCCAGTCTCCTGGGAAAGTCTATTTAGGGTCGTCTGGCCTGCCATCCAGTTCCACACACCTTGCGGCCCCCGGGGATGATCTCTGGGGTAGACGCCCTTTGCCCATTCTCCCTCTGCCTGTCCCACTCAGCAGTTTCTCCTGGAGAGAGACCTGTGCCCTCTCCTGCTTCATTCCTGGGGCTGCT